TATGCTACCTTAAACATTGTGCAAACCACTGTTACTTAGCAGTCTTTTCAAGGCAAGGGCCATATCATGTGGCTGCAACTGTGGTTTTACAATAACAGGTCCATAGCCAAAAATGCCAAAAATAAGTGGTAACTTTTAAAGAAAACTTAAAATTAATTCAGCTTTCTCAGAGCAACAAGAAAATTTCCAACTCAGACACTGATCGATAGTAATGTAAAATAATCCTTCAGAGAGGCAGAGCAAACTTTCTTCTGAAGCCAAAATCTATGGAACTGTCCTCTGAAGACAACGCTTCTATACACAGGCACATCCAACTTTCCATGACATTTCAGGTGGAGCTGCTGCAGACTAAACACGAACTAGTCCAGGAGGCCAGGAGACCTGCATTAGGGAACTGCCAAGTGGATCCGAAAGTCTAGGGCCCTCAGCCAGGACAAGTGTTGCACCTGCCCCATCTTGGCCATGTCCCTTCTGAAAGTCTAAGTGCTTCTCTTGCCTCACCCTATTTGCAGCCCTACTGAAGACAAAAGGTTATGGCTCTCGACAGTAATAAATACCTGGTTACATACATCATTTCATATTCCAGCATAATCTGGATGACATATGCCTAAATAAAAGTCAGATGCTTGATATTAAAACTCTCCCTTCAAGTTCCTTTGTCATAAGGGTTAACAAAGACCCAGCAGATCACTGAATGGGACATGTCTAAGGCCCATCCTGACACTGTTGCTCTAGAAAACCGTCGCCTGCAAGTCTGCGGTGATCACAGCAAGCACTCTCCTGAGTCCTTACCATGCACAGCTGTGCGTGAACTGACACTGTGGCTTTGCATGCCTCTCTGAAGTCCCTCTACCTAGAAATAAGTTGTCAACTGCATACATACAGAGTCCCTAGGCTTTAACCTAGGTACTGTCTCCAAGGAACATCTTCCAGTTTGGATCAAATTACTCTTGTTGCTTCATTTTCCTTGCTTAAAAAGTAGGCGCCCATGGTGTTGAGTGCATGGACTTTCTCTCCAGCCTCCTCCATGACAGTGAACTTTCTTGAATTTCTCAGTCTGAGAAACTAAACTGGCACAAAGTTACTGGTCATCTTTTGGCTTCCCCAGAGAGGTGCCTTGAAATAGTTGTTCCCAGGATTGTGGCTCCAGAACCAGACTAACTCCAAGAAGCCAAAATTACAGATGCCTCCTGTAGCCTCAAAGAGAAAATAAAAAGTGGAATCTCCACTGCTCAGCCTGGAGTAGTATCATGGGCGCAGGCCCAAGGAGTCTCATGTTTTAGTATTTCTGCATATGTTTTCTTATATGTTTCCAGGACCATAGAAACATATAAGAAATTTGGGAGCCACAATGTGGGAAGTTGTACAGAACTGTTATTCCCAGAGAATAGATGGAGTGAAAGGGTTACTCCTGAAACATAGTTTTTCCATTGATTATTTTACTTAAAGAGAAAATATGTCATTTCCCTGGAAAATTGAGGAGGTGGAGTATTTTCTTTTGAATATCTTCAAACATTTGCAAATGGTTATTCGGAACTCCCTAATGTACCATAAACAATTGTAAACTATAGAAATTCTGAAAATGTACAAATACAAACAGCTATCCCCCAAGATCTCAGGCACAAAGAAGGGGCTATTACATTTATAAATGGAATTCTTTGTGGATAGAATAGTTTGGGAAATGTTTATGCATTGTTTTTCTTATTATTGTTTATTATTTTTTCTAGCTACAGAAGCTGCCGAACTTGTATTTATAATCTGAAAAGTTAAAGATTAAAGGTTAAAGATTACAGTCTTTTAAACTGCTCAGTTAAATTTAATTAGCTCTCCATCTGGGGAAACTATCTGCCCATTGAGGTGATGTGTAGTCATATCAACAAACAAGAATGTATAAAAGTCAGGTAACCAGGAACAGAATAACTTCAAAATGGAAAGTTACTTGCAAAGTAATGTGCAAAGCACTAACAAATATGACTTCTTTGGAGATGTGTAGCTGGACTGCTGCTATGATATAGCCTGCTTTGAATCTATTTCAAACTGTTTTTTAAAATCTTAATACGGTATGAGAAAGGCAGACACAGAAGAATGAAGGACACAGACCACAGCTACTGACAAACTGTCCTGTGATAAATTACATAATGAATTACCACGGAGCACAAGGGGGAACCGCTCACCACCTCATCCACTGCATCCAAGCCTGTAGTTTGCATTTGGCTTTTAATGCTTTCATGAGGCTTTAATACATCACCAAACAGCATTCACCATCAAGGCACAAAAGCTACACAGTCCTTTATTTAATGGATGCATTTCCAATTTCTCCAACTATATGAATGGGTTGGGTTTCTGAAGAAAAACAGCACCGCACCTGCACAGAAGAACAGGCAGGCCCAGCGGTAGTGAGTGAATTATGACAGTTTAGGCTGTTCTATGAGGTGACTTGGAACCACAGAGGGGCAGAGAGGTGTGATTTAGTGGAGGAGAGGTGGTTCTTCTCCTGTCTTAAATCATGCACCTCGTCACCTCTCCATAGTCAGCAAAGCCTGAGTATTTCTGACTAGAGAAAAGCTGTAACTTTGGGGAGACCTATCACAAAAATAACTCTCCAATCTCAAGAAGTATTGGACAATTTTGTCACTGGCTGGCTTAAGCCACCTTAATGTTGTTAGTAATGATTCTGGTCTGTATACAAGACCCTCACCTGATTCTTTATTCAGAAATATAGATCATCCAAATAGCCATCATACATTTTATGCTTTTATGACTGTTCGGTCCCGTGATCCTTATAGGCTGGTGTTATTATTCTTGACCTAGTCAATTCTCACCTTAATAACAGAGGGAAAGTATTTCACTCTCGCATTCCTCCTTCAATATCATTTGAATGGGTGACCCTTGGATGTGTTTACAATGACAATCCCCAGTGCTTTCTGACTTTCTGAAGGTGGTCACTTTTTTGTCACATACCTGCCCATTACTCAAAGCTTTGTCAACCAGATTAAATTATTCTTCTGAACAAACCAGGGGCATTTTCACTTGAGGTGACCCCGAGAAAATGGCTTTAGCCATTTGACTTCAGACAGCAGAATTTGTACAATCAGTAAGGAACAGTGAACTCACTTGTAGTATTCTGCTTCTCCTGATAAAGCCATCGGTGAAAAGGAAACTTCAAAGCATGGTGGCTAAGAAACTCTTCTTGCATCATACAGGAAGACCCTTGCTCTGGTGCTGTGCACCCCAAACAGACCTCTGGGTAAGTCAGGGACCCATGTAAACGCACCAGCATAGAGACTGCACACATCACCTCATGTGTTATGCTGCATGCCTTTATGTCCCACTGTGGAGTCTAGGGTAGTCTAACTAAATATTGTCTTAAAAACTGAGGAAGTTGGTAAGTAGAGGCTCAGTTTGGTTGTTAGCTCTCCCTCAAGACAACTGAAGCAGATTAAGGGATTTTAGTAAGTAGAGTGATGAAAGAATGAATTAGCCTATTGTCCTACAGTGGTTTAAAGGAAATACGGCTCTGGAGTCAGAAGGCCTGTACATGAATCTTGGTTCTGCTTACTAATTTAGTAATCTTGCACAAGGTACATAATTTTTTGTCTGTTTCCTCATCAGTGGAATGAAGATAATAATTGTTTTACACACCCAAATAAATATCACTGAAAAATACTTAGAAGAGAGCTACACAGGCACATGTGAGCAATTTTCCTTCCAGCCTCTCCTCCCCAAGTCTCCTTCCTCCCTGGGTTTGGAGCCCGAGCTGACAGTGCCTAGCGGGCAGGCCCAGATGGGGCAGCACACTTTGTACTTCCCCAGGATACTTTGTATCCCAGAAAGACAAGAGCACAAGTTAAGTGAAAGATCATTTCCCTGCTCTCTGGAAACAAGTGATAAATCCAACTGAATTTTGACCTGTTTGCCGCCCACCTGGGCAGAGGGAAGCACTCATGCTCTGGGTCCAACAGAACTGAACTGAACTGAACTCCAGTTCCCCCACTTACCAGCTCTGTTTTGGACAAGATCTCAAAGCCGCATGCACCCAATGCCTATCCCACCAGCACTGTTGAGAGGAGCAAACGAGGCCAAACGTGGCTGCAGTGGGCACACATGCTGGTTCCCCTGCCCGGTACTAAGCTCCCACTCACTCTTCACGGTTCACGGAGCATTGAGCAGGACTTCTCTGTTAGGTCACACTCACACCAGCAAGGTGAAAGCTTTGCACTGTCTGCAAACATGAGCAGCCCATCAGCCGAGTGCCTGAACTCCCAAAGTGGGGAGACAAGTACCCGATAACTGGTCCTGGAGGCCTGCCCTGGGGAACACTGGCTAGTACCAAACCAAAGGAAAACACCTATGCACAGAAGTTAGGAGCCTCGGCTCAATCAGCCCTCGGGCAAATCCAGCTCTGTAGCCTGGTTTCAGTGGGCACAGGTACACATGAAAGACTAGTCTTTATTCTCATCCTACAGCTGGATTCCTTTGGTTAGTAATAAAGTTTGGTGAACTTGTGACAATGATGGTTACTGGTTCTAGGGAGTGGCCCCACTCATGGGTTTCTAGGCCTTCACCACTGCCCCGCAACCTCAATCCAGGGCATTTAGTCTCCCCAAGTAAATCTCTCCTTCCTCCCACATCCTCTTTTCCTCCAGTAGGGCAAATTTTAGATATGAGTCTAATAACAATATAAAAGTGTAATTAAAGAGAGTGGTTCCAATTCCGGCTCAAGACTGGGCGTTGCCCTTAGTGATATTGGGCACCGCACTTACACACAGTGGCTCTTGCGTCAGCTGTTAAATGGGAATGGTGCTACTAAACAACTGCTCAGTATCATCAGTGTTGGATCAAAACGTCGACAGTACAAGATCACACAAAGCGTACTGTAAAACACGGAAGGTAAAGAAAAAAAAATGATTATGAACACATTTCTGGCGTCTCCGCCTTGTGAGCAGCAAGGCAGGCGAGGGGACCTGGCTGGTGGAGGAGCGCCCCGTGGACATACAAACCTTTTACTTATTCTGATTTCTAATTCGGAGGCACCTCCTTTTGAGCGGCGGCTCCAGGTCCTCGGGCCCAGCGCCGAGCAGGGGTGAGGAGATGATGCAGGGGGCCATGGCAGTCTTCTCCGCGGGTTTTGGCACAGGTTGGATCACGCAGCCGGTCTTGGGCAGCATCCGCAGAGCATAGGCGTGGTCCTCGTCCGCGGGGTTGTTAAGGTTCGGGTCCGACTTGTCGCCCCCCGCCAGGGCCTCCTCCCCCACCAGCTTCTTGGCCGCCTCCCCGTCCAGGTGGCAGTTGGAAGCACAGTTGTTCTCCTTGACCGACTCCAGCTCGCTCACCACCGGCTCCTCCGGCGACAGCAGCTTCTTGGACGG